TTTTTTTTTTTTGTTTTTTTGTTTTTTTTTGGGCAAATCACGGGGCGAATCTCTTGGTTCTAAATTCGTATCGCAAATGAATTGGCGTGAGACACATCTCTAGTCTCCTGGTGACGGGTAGTACAGGTCATAGGTGCGTCTACGAAGAATACGAGACAATGGCGCGGATGCTAGCTGAGTCAGTCTTTTGTGCTTTTCTTGTCGAGATAGTCTATTGATATTAGAACATTGACGGTCAGCGGATCTCCATCGTGCTCACCTGTATGATCAATCGCAGTCACGAGAACTCCCGAGGAATGGGTACGCAGTCGCTCAACGCTGGAGGGCTCTGCTTGACATATTTTTGCCTTGAAGGTTTCCATCAGAAATGATAGCAATGTAAGTTTTGGCTAGTGTTCGGTGATACGAAGCATGTGGTTAGAACCCCATGTGCCATCTGGCCCAGAGATGTCTCATGCTGTTTGTTTTTAATTCAGCAATGCGGTGGCTCTATGTCATGCAATTTCTACCGGCAGGCACTGCAGTCTGCTGATAGCCTACACACAGCATGTATCATTTTTAGGAGCGTTCAAGCACTCATAGCGCTCGGTCTCGTACCCAGATATGTCGACACGTAGTATGGGTACGAGACCAATAGCGCTCTGATATTGGCTGTTCTTATAATCAAATGATTGAATTGTGGAAACGTTCAGATTATGTTACTCACATTGATGGCAGGTGTCTGTCGGGCGTTCAGTGCAGATACGGATACAGTAGTGTCAGTGTCCAGTATTTCGTTCAGTGCTTTTATTTCCCACCGGACCAACAGCACAGCTGCATAGGTCGAACTGTGTCTGACTTCGAATGTGATAGTCCCTGCGTTAGCTGCACGAAGGGTGCAACCTTGTAAGTACTCGACTTACAAAGTTGGTGTACTGACTATTCCGATCGGCGACAGCTACTCCATGAGCGCCATACATAGCGCGCTCGTCTGTGACCTACTAGTGCCTCGCTAGCACCAACCTACATTGCTTCGCAGCATATCCCGCTTGTGTCAAGGAGACGACATCGCCGCTCATGTCATCAGCACCTAATCAGCGCAGCTCCTCCATTGATTCATAATCCAGTGGCACGTCACTGAATCATTTCGTGATATCCGCGCATCTGCATTTCGTTATACGTATAGGAACTAAGAGAGAGTGAGCGTCTTCCATTGCTACAGGATATAAATTCAGACTGACCCAAACACAATCAATACAACTGTCGCATTAGTCCCCATCCATCAAACCATCTCAAGTTACTACAACTCTTCACACATCTACTCATTATGACTGCTATCTTCCCCCTCACTGAGTGGACGAAAACCAACCTCTCTGCCATCTACAGTGCCACCACTCAAGACGACTTCACCAGCGCGTTCAACCAGTTTATTGCCGACGATGCTCATATCACGGTGAATGGCAAGCATATAACGCGCGAGAAGTATCAGCAACTTCTCGAGGGCCAGAAGGCGTTGCAGAAATCTGCGAGTGTAACTTACGCCGGTGCTGTTGGTGTTCCAAAGGAGAAGGATAACTCACTCGGCTTGGTAATTCTTCCGTTATGTATTCCATTATGACAACCTAATTCCGCATGCGTGACAGGCTGGCAATGTCGGTGTCTTCTACACAGCGACCATCATTGAGACCGTCGACATCTTGGGTGTGCCTGCCACGCGAGTTGTTACTTCGTCTTTGAACTTAACGTAAGTACATCTTCTTTGTGTCTTTGAGTGTTGACACTCATGTGCATGCTTAGTACCGTTCAGGTCGGGACGACCAACAATCGCGTGGCCTCTGTCCTGAACCAAGTCGTGTCGACAGAGGAAGGGCCCGTCGATCCGCGCATCCCCGCGGCGAAGTAATGTGCCGCACAAATTGTTGAGAGCATGTCCATCTATTCATGATGCCATGTCCATTGTCCGCTAAATAACCATGTACTATGTAGCTCCAGGCCACGAATGTGAGTAATTGTACGAACCATAAGTGTGAGGAAATAGCTCGTTCCAAAACCTGTTTTGCAAATTGCTATTTACGAAGTTATTGCTGAATGTATCCTTCCCACTTCTGCGATGTGAATTGAATGCAAGCGTGAATACGACAGTAAATAGGCGACAGCCGTTAAGATCAACAGCAAAAAAATGCCATGAGGGAAAACTGAGGCTTGAAGGAACGCAATTAGGTAAAAGAATCTTGTCACACATTGCATTAAGGGGGAATCGAACCCCCGGCGGGTCGATGGCAACGACCCAGGTTACCACTACCCCATTAATGCTGACAACTATGTTCTTCATAAATATTATATGGTTGTATCCTCAGCATGTCCACAAGGACATCTGAAATTGGCACTGCGCCCTGACTCAGCAACCCGAGTCGAGTCGAGTCATTGTCAATTTAATTTTCTTCCAGTTTCAGATTTAGTCTCATGAGTTCACAGCCATGTCTTACAGTACTTAGTTGTTTTGGTTTAGAGCTGACCCTCAATGCGCACATGTGGTATTGCGGCTAATTACCATCTTGTTCTGCTTTCAACTCGACGCTGACATGATACTCTTGCGAACGGGCTGCATTCGTTCAAACTTTCGCCATTCTCACCTCGCATGTGAGTATAACTTCCCTGTGTTCCGCTACCAACTGCTCAACAGTCTGTATAGCACCGTGTCTTTTCGGACAACGCCCGGGATGTCTATTGCAGGCACAGACGATTCATGCAACTATGGGTCAACGGAGTGATGGACGTAGGGCAATGTCAGCTATGCCTATAGATTCTCAGCGGAAAGTCTGGATGGTCACCGGTTCGTGTCATTGCTCCAAGCCTGAGGCCAAGCGAACTTTTCATTACGATAGTGCAATCGTTCTTCTCTCCGGCCATACGCGATGAGATCTCTCCTGTCTTTCCTGGTTGACCCATAAGCCGTGAAATTACTCTCGGCTATCATACATATTGCTGATGCTGACCGTCTTTGTTCGTAGGAACTTCAACGGGTTTTGGGAAACGCTTAGTCTCGCAGGTTCTCTCCCGAGGGGATTATGTGATCGCGACCGTCCGAAAGCCAGAAGACTTTAAGGTCAATGTAACAGAGTCAGACCGCGCCCGTTTGCAAGTTCTTGCGCTCGACCTGAATGATCCACAGGAGAGCATCCAGGGGAAGGTCGATGGTGCACTGGCAAAGTGGGGTCGTATTGATGTGCTGGTTAACAACGCCGGCTCAGCTCCCAAAGCACTTCTAGAGGAAGGCGGGTACGTCAAATATTCAGACTTTTGCATCCCATGAAGCCTATACGAGCATATCCGTTAGAGCTGCTTTTTCTGACACCCATCTTTCCACCAATATCACCGGGACAATTAACGTCACAAACGCGGTGCTTCCAAATATGCGGGATCGACGTTCTGGAATGGTTGTATTCTTGGGCAGTCGCTCAGTCTGGAATGCCGAGATACCTGTAAGCACAGTCAAATTTCATTTCTCTCCATAATATGACCTCGTCGGATGTTCAGTTGACGGCTCATTACATCATATCAAAAGCGGCCCAGCATGGTATGCCGTTTATCATGTGTCATTAAGGGTCTAACTGATGTTTTTTTTTGCAGTCCTAGGCGAGACATATGCTTCGGAGCTGAAGTCTTTTGGCGTTCGCGTCCTCATCTTTTGCCCCGGAGGCTTCCGTACGGAGAACATACACACTCGTCCGCTGGTCGTGCACAACCGCATCGCCGCATATGACACATTCCGGGACGAGGCCATGGTCGACTTCAACGAGAGGTGGAGAAATGCCCCGGGCGACCCGGAGAAGGCGATGAAGGTTCTTGTCGACGCGATAAATGGAGAGGGGAAAGCAAAGGGAAGGGAGCTCCCTTTGTATCTGCTCCTAGGAAACCCTACATACGACGCAGCGCGGGCGTACTGTGAGAAATTGTCTCAGACGATGGCTTCCTGGGAGGACGTGACGAAAGATTTAGACCTAGAAGAATGAGATGATTCAGCTGAACAGAGGCAGCTTGGTCCCTATTTGTATTGACTACAGATCCGGCGACTACGCTCCCATTTCTCAGTATAGTAGAGGGTGCTATTCTAATGGTCAATTTGGTGCGAAGGTATTGTTACACTCGAGAATCATCGAAATTATGCAACTTATGCCGCGAGAGATAGACGTCCTGAGTACGTTTTATATGTATGGGCCGATCATCCTGGGCTCAGAACTTGATCTGGAATGTTATTTCAATTCAGCGGTAAGGCAATGGTTTCTGGGTAGCTCACCTTGGCTAGTGCGTATGCTATGTTGGTGATAAATGTGCGATCGCGCTCGACAATTTCATCATGCAACGCGGAACTGGCCTCTTCGTTGTTTGTTGGTGGTGTTATGGAGAACGGCAAGAATTGATCGATGTTCAGAACAAGCTTCTCGTTCTCTCTGAGTACTTGTGTCTTCTCATAGGCATATTGATGAACCCGAAGCAAGAATTTACTGGCTGCTGTATTGGGGACGAGCACATTGCTTGCCTGGCTATCCCAATACAACGACGATAGTGTCTCCCGTGGAAGTTTGCTACCTCTCGTTAGAGCGATGGCCTCTCTACACTTCTGTCGGAATACGAGAAGTCGGCGGAGAGCAAAGGCCGGCGTTCTATCCATCTCGAATACTATCCCCGGATCTGTGATATCGTTTTTTACTTTGCTGTATGCTATTTGCATTGCTGCTTCTGTTGTTTCCTTCTCCCAACCCAACCGCGTCGCTCTAAGGAAGACTCTCATTGGCTCCTCATATATTCCCTTGAACCACCTCTTCCTCGCAACCTCCACGGCCCTCACAATTTTATACTTCGTGGCAGCCTCCAGAAGATTGTGTGCATCCCACAGAGTATGGATGACAGGATCAACCAGCGGATAGCAAAGTTGCAACAATACCGCCAGTGTGGAGTCGCTCTCTGGTAGTAAAACCGCTGGTAAGTCTTCTTCGCCTTGCCCGCCAACCCCACTGTCCTGTATTAACTCAGCAAGAACCGAGGATGCGAGCGAAAGTAGCTGCTTGTACACATAAAAATAGGTGTTCGAACAAGAGCGAATGATAATGTCGCCCTTGAGTGAATCATTAAAGGGGTGATCAAATTCTCGAGGTGAAGTCTCGGCAGGTGTAGGCGTGAGCTTACGCAGAAATGCCTCCGTCTTTTCCCAAAAATGTAGACGCCTTTGGGCGTTGCCTGACCGATAGCAAAGTAAACGGTAATATTCTCCTGCGGAGACCGTGTCCATCTCGAGATCGTACGCATCGACAGGGAAGCTTAGACGCGTATTGACCGATGTCATCTTTTTGTGACTTGTAGATTTCTGTGTCGACCCCGGTGAGCGGTCTCCACTACAACCTGAGAAGGTGGACGCGGCCCTATACGCTGTACTCTCTAGATTCAGCCGGCATGCGGCCGCGTACACTTGAAGGGGTTCCTGAGTAAGGAGAGCTAACAGCGACGTTGTCACAAGCCTAGTTGCCTCATTCATGTCGTACTTGATTGCTGCTCCCAATACGGGCTCGATGTCGTGTACGCTAGGAAGGGATGGATCCGTAACAGGATAGCACAGTCGAAGGAGAGAATCTATGGTACGTTTTCCCTCGTCGATGTCGATAGTGTGGAGGTTGAAAATCTGCCCAGAAGTGGATACAGGCTGGGGAAGGCTGAACATGCCTGCAAAGAAGGTTGATGCTACACGCAATATGGCCTTGTGGACGAAGAATGCAATTCCATCTGATGAACGCAGGATAACATCAGCGTCACCGTAACGATTGTCAAACGGATATTCCCCCATAATCGTGATGGGCTCGGAGGATTTAGGTGTCGAGGGCGAGCTATCCATTGCACGCTTCCAGTGGTAAGATGCTGGATGATGGTGGAAAGGACAGTTTGTGAGAGTGCCCTATGATCGACAAGCGGGTCTCGTCACCGCCACATTGCAGATCACGATGGGCATCGTGCGATTGCGCTGCACCGCACCTCGGAGGGCTTAATGGTTGAACTCACCTTGTAAGTCATGACAGTATTTTGGGAACAGATTTGGCAAAGTAAACTCGCATAAGTACACGGACAAACGGTAAAGATCTAGGTGGTCGTCTCAATGTTAAATGCAACTTGAAGTATAGATCTAAAATTCATAGTACAGGTCGCAGACACAAAGAAAAGCTCCAGGTAATCCGAAGGTCATTGAACACACAACTGCCCTCGATACATCACAATCTACGCCACAGTAGATACAATGTTGGTCGGGCCAAGTGCGCGTGTGAATGTTTTTCTGATAATTCTGAGCTCAGAACTTGATCTGCAATATCATTTCAATCAAATGCATGTGATGAAGCTTTCGGGAAATTCACCTTGGCTAGTGCGTATGCTATATCAGCGACAAATTTGCAATTACGCTCAACAAACTGATCAAGCAGATTCGAACTGGCCTCCTCGTTGGTTTTCGGAGTGACAGAAAAATACAAGAAATTATTGATGTCAAGGACAAGCTGCTCGTTCTCCTCGAGTGCTTGCGCATTCCGATGGACGCATTCGTGAATTTTCAGTAAAAACTGACTGG